CTACAGTGAAAATCTCTAAAAAAAAAAAAAAAAAAGAAAGAAAAGAAATAAGAGGACATCCAGACATAGCCGAATTTATTGGAGTTTATTGATTAAGCCAGCGGCATACGGGAGACTCATGTCTCTCAAAAACCCGCAGCCCCAAGTGAAAGGAGAAAGGAGCTTATATATGCCAAAAAGGCACAATCATGTCCAGGATGACTTGATGATCTACAAGGACAAAGAGCAGTGGACTTGAAAGGGTAGGGGGTAGTGCTTTTACAGAAGTGAGAAAAAGCTGGTAAGCACGTTAATCATTAAGGTGATTAGGAGAAGTGGAGTTTTAAGGACAACAGGAATGTTAATCACTCTTAAAAGGGGAGAGGAGAGGTTTCCAGTCATAGGAATTTAACAGTTCATAATGGAGGAGCTTCTCCAAGATGGAGTCCTCCTGCTTCATTCCCCACTTCTCTTAGAGGGGCTCCTCCAAGATGGAGTCATGCCTGCTTCAAAGTAAGAAATCACCTCCCAGGGGAATAGCCACACCACAGTCCCTTCTCTTTCATTCTCTTCTTGGGGTTTTGGGAACACACAAACATGTCTAGCGAGGTTTTTTTTTTTTTTAAAGAATTATTTAACTTTATTCATTATTATTATCATTATTATTTTTCAGTTTGATCAGAGAGAGAGAGGAAGTGTGAAAGCAAGCCACCAGGTCCGAGGCTCGAACCGTGGTCGCCCATGTGGGAGTCCAGCACCTTTAACCACCACGCCACTTGTCGGCCCCAGCGAGTTTTTTAAGCCACCAGGTCTAGGACTCGAACCTCACAGTCAGCCATGTAGGTTTCAATGCCTTAACCTCCACACCACCTGCTGGTCCATGGAATGTCCCTCATTATTGCTGTTCCCTTTATCCTTGTCCCATGTGTCTACCTCATCTGTTATTGACAGTCACTCTGTCTATCTCGTGATCAGTGCCCTCACAGAATCTTTCTCCATCAATTTATTCACTTGTGTCTTTATAATTAAAATGTGTTTCTTGTAAACAATATGTAGCTGAGTCTTTTTCATCCAGTCTGATAGTCTCTACCTTTTAAGTACGTTGTTTAGACTGCTTACATTTAATGTAATTATGTTTCATTGCATTTTATGTAATGATTGGTTTTAAGATTATCAGCTTAGTAGTTGTGTTTAATCAGCCTGTGTATTGTTCCTTTCTCTGTCTTTTCCTGCCTTCTTTTTGGAATGAGAATTTTGGGGGTAGAGGATATTCTATTTGTTCTCTATTATTCATTTATTTTCTGTACTTGTGTTTTGGTTGTCATTGTTCAATGTGTGTGTGCGTGTGTGTTTTAGTGATTGCTTTGAAATTATATATATATTTTTTTAATTTGCCAGAGGATGCATGTACTTACCAGAGAGAGACAGAGAGAGAGCACGCGAGAGAGAAAGTGACAGTACCCCTCATGAGAGATGGTGACACCACAGTCTTGTCTCTTTCACTCCTACTCTTTCAGGATTTGGAGCATGTATGCACGCACATGTGCCTGGAGCATTTCTCAAGCTTCTAGATCCAGGACCAAACCACACAGTTGGCCCGTGGGATCCAGCTGCCTTAACTACCATGCTACTGTCTGGCCCACAAAAAATATTTTTAGCGTACCACAATCTGCCTTCAAATAATCTTATAGCATTTCTCATATAACATAAGACCCTTACAAAAGTATGCTTCCATTCTCTCCTCCAGTAGCTGTTTCATACCTTTTATTTTTCACTGTCTTTAAACCCCCATGATACATTGTTCTATCGATTTTTTCTTTTTTAGGTTTTTGCCATAGGGCATATGCACCCACCAGGGAGAGACAGAGAACGAAAGTGAGAAATTACCCCCCCAACCCCCCAGGGAGGATGGCCACACCACAATCTCTTCTCCTCCATTTTCCTCTTGAAGTTTTTGGGCACACACATGCTGAGTGTGATTTTCAAGCTGCAGGTGGCCATGGAAGAGTCCAGTACCTTAACCATCACACCACCTAGCGGTCCCAGTTCTAACAATTATGATTTTTTTTAATTTTTAAACAAGAAAACTCACTTAGTTTGCCATTTCTGTTATTTGTTTATGTAAATCTAAGTTTCCATTTGGTATTCCCTTCCTACCTGAAGAATTTTATTATTTTTTGCTGGGCAGTCTGCTATAAACTAATTCCTTTAGGAGTCAGCAGATGGCATAGCAGTTACATTGCTAGACTCCCACATAGCTGACTGTGGTTTCAGTCCAAGACGGAGCAGCTTAAAACTCAAGCGTGGCGTGGGTGCATGCATGCCCAAGATCCCAGGAGGAGAATGGAGAAGGGATTGTGGCGTGGCCATCCCATCCCCCAAGGAGTTATTTCTCTTTCTCTCTCCCTCCCTCCCTCTCCCTCCCCTTCCCTCCCTCCCTCCCTCCCTCCCTCTCTCTCTCCAGCAAGCCTATGCACCCTAAGGCAAAGCCTCTAAAACTAAAAAATAAAAATAATAATAATAATAATTCTTTCAGCCTTTATTTAACTTTAATTTTATACCTTTTTAGTTTGACAGTTTTTTGTTTTGTTTTGTTTTTTAAATAATTATTTTATTTACCTTTATTTATTTATTTTAATTTGACCTGGAAGAGACAGAGTGAGTGAGAGAGAGAGAGAATGAGAGGGTGAGAGAGCAAGCCGTCAAGTCCGGGACTCAAACTGCGGTCGGCCATGTGGGAGTCCAGTGTCCTTAACCACCACACCACCTGCTGGCTGGCCCCAAGTTTTTTGTTTTGTTTTTAAAGTATGCTTTAAAGCCCTGGTTCCACTATCCTTGGGTTTCCATTGTTTTGATAAGGTAACCATCATTCTTGTATTTGTTCTCTTGTGTATAACATCTTTTTTCCTGTGACTGCTGTTTATATGTTCTTTTTGATCACTTTTGGTGTTTTGTGTGTGTGTATGTCTGCTGTTGCTTATAACTTTAATATACTATAGTGTAGTTTATTTTTATCCTTTGTGCTTGGCTTCACTGAGCTTTTTGGGTCTGCAAATTTATAGTTTCATAAAATGTAGAAAATTTCTGGAGATTTTTTTTTTTCTGAATTTATTCTGCTCTTCTACCCCTAGTTTCTTTCCTGAACTCCAATTATACATATATTAGTCTACTGATTGGGTTATTAAAACTCTGTTCCCCTAACCCCATTCCCACCCTTCAGGCTTTAATTTTGCTGTGCTTCAGGACCAGCAGTTGGCGTAATGGCTATGTCACTGGACTCTCATGTAGTCGACTGCGGTTCGAGTCCTGGACCTGGTGGCTTAAACTCACGCCGGGCACATGCGCATGTGTGCCCAAGATCCCAAGAGGAGAACGGAGGAAAAGGGATTGTGTGGCCATTCCCCCTGGAGTGGGGGGTGATTTCTCACTTTCTGTCTTCATGGCGAGCACACACGCCCTACAGCAAAAACCTCTCCCCCCCAAAAAATTTGCTCTGCTTCAATTTCTGTAATTTTTATTGCTATATCCTCAAGATCATGATATTTTCTTTCGTAATATTCAATCTACTGCTAAGCCTTTGTAGTGAAATTTGTATTTCAGGTGGTGTATTTCTCAACTTTAAAGAAACACTCGGATTTCCTTTTATGTAGATTCTGTTTCTTTCCTTAAGTTCATATTTCCCTTTAAGTCCTTCTTCACATGTCTAGTAATTTTTTTAAGATGGTGGGCATTATGGTATTAAGTTGTTGAATGTCTGAGTTTATCTGTTTAACTTAAAATATCCTAGAGACCTTCCTACCCAAGCTGAACCACTTCCCTATAACAGAGAGAAGTAGAAGTAGGAATCGCACTGACTGAAAATTCATCCTAGGGGAGTAAAACCATGCGACAGGAAACTGTCCCCACCCCGTGGTGTCCAGAGCACTCTGCGGAGCTTATGTG